AAGACCCTCACCCATCTCTCTTCTGGCAGACACTGGGCAACCCCAGAAATGTGGGGAGGCAGGGGAGGACCTTTGTCTGTCATGAACATTGCCCAGGGAGTTACAGTGTAGAGGTGGGAGGTGAAAGGGCGGACAGTGAAGTGACAATAGAGGATTTAAATACAGGCTCAGGAAACTGCAGAATAGATACCAGGATGATGTTGACAGATGAGAAGTGCTGACCACAGTTGCTACTTTTCAATGGGAATGGACACCAGTGTCTGGAGCCTTCTTTGTGCTGAGCTTTTTTATATACATATTTTAATTTAAGTCTCCCAGCATCCCCCAAGGCAAAGGTATTATCCCCATTTTAAAGACGAGGAAACTGAAGTCAAGTGACTTGCTCAAGGTTAAGGCCAGGGATGCCAAATTCCATAGCACACATACGTGCCCCGCCAAAGCTACCTCCCTCACCCCCTGCACATAGTCTCCCTGAAGATATACGCAATGGTGTTCGAGTGGGCTTTAAAAAAAATTTTTTTAAAAGATTTACGTATGGTACAATTCACTCTTTTGGTGTTTAGTTTTATGAGTTTTGAAAAATGCATAGATCGAGTGGGGTTTATTTAAATTTTTTGTTTTGAGATCCTTTTATATTCATGTAGTCATAAGAAATAATACAGAGAAATCTCTGTACCCTTTATTCAGTTTCTCCCCATAGTAACATCTTGCAAAACTATAGTATATCATCACAAGCAGGAAATTGACACCAGTACAGTCAGTCAAGGTACAGAACATTTCCATCTCCACAAAGATCCCTCCTGTTGCCTTTTAACCACACCTACCTCCCTCCTGCCCCCACACCCTCATCCCAAACCCCTGGCAACCACTAATCTGTTCTCCAGTTCTATAATTTAGTCATTTCAAGAGTGTGATATAAATGGAGTCATACAATAATTAACCTTTGGGGATTGGCTTTTTTTACTCATTTTAATTCTCTGGAGGTTCATCCAAGTTGTTTCATGTAATAATGGTCCTTTTCTTTTTATTGCTGACTAGTATTCCATGGTTTGGATGTACCATGGTTTGTTTAACCATTTACCTGGTGAAGGACATCTGAGTTGTTTCCTGGTTTTGGCTGTATGAATAAAGCTGTTATGAACATTTGTGTACAGGTTTTTGTGTGAACCTAAGTCTTCATTTCTCTGGGATAAATGCCAAGGACTGCAATTGCTGGCCATATGTTAGTTCGAGTGGGCTTCTGAAGGGTGCATTTGGGATGGAGAGATGGGTACTTGTAGGAAGCACACAGGCCTGGGGGCTGCCCCACACAGGTGTAAATCCCAGCTGTGAACCCAGACCCTGGGTGAGTTGTTTCATACAGCTGTAAAATGGGGATAATTGAACCTGGCTTGTAGCTAATGTGTGTAAAGCATCTGGTACACAGTAGGTGCCCAATAGATAGAGCTGTTCTTAATGTAGGTTAAGTGAAGATCCACCAGGCCAAATCAGGATCTGTGTCATAGAGGTGGCCTCTGGGAAGGCTTTGTCAGGCTTTCACACTGCCCCCTGTGGGATCACCCATTTATTTTTCCCTTCCGAGTTCATGCCCCAGCTCCTTCCTGAGAAGACGCTGGCCATATTCTCAGACTGGGTTATAGGTCTGTGGACTGGCACTGGCATTCCCTGATGAAGTTGGCCAGGCCCATGCATTGGATCAAAGGAATTCCTCCCAGGGAATTTCAGATTTTGACAGGCTCTGCTGGTCTGGATTTGCCTCACAAGGTCTGAGAATGTGGCCAGATCATTTGAGATGTTAATGTGATTTAGCACAATTTCAGAAACGTGTATTGAGCTCTTATGGTATGCAAGACACTGTCTAGGTATTGCAGAGGGTTTGGAAAAAGGTGCTATCTTCCAACAGATCAAAGCAGCTAACTGCAGCCTCTCAACTCCTTCAGAGCTCCCATGGCCACATGATAAAGTCTGTATTCAATATGGGATTCAGAGTCCTTGTTCTGGTTTGAATCTGTCTTTCCAGCTCCTGTCCTGCTGCCACCCCCCTCCAAGTACTGTGTGCACAAGCCACCAGTGTGCTCACTGTTCCTCACACACCGTGTTCAGGCCAGGCTGCCATGCTTCACTTACACTCTTTTCTCTGCTTGGGTGCCTCTTTCCTTCCTGTTGAAATCTTGCCTTTTTTTTTTTTTTTTAAATCAGAAAAGTATGCATTGGGTGATATATCCAAATAGCATGTAAGGCTGTAGTCAGTGCCTTCTGCCTCTGCAGAACCACAGGTCTCTCCTCAAGGCAACCGTGGTTATGGGACTATACTAGACTCCCTCTTCTTGCTTTTTTCACTTTATAGCATATCTTGTTCACTTTATAGCATATCTTACAGATTATATCTGTACAAGTAGAACTGCCTCATTAAATTTTTTTGAAGGCCACATGATATTCCTTTACATAACTACACCATAATTTAACCAGTTTCATGTTAATAGGCATCTAGGTTGTCCCCACTTTGGGGCTCTTACAGGCAGTGCTGTGTGTCTTTGGCCCTCGTGCAAAGGAGTCTCTTTAATACCCAACTCTGGTGCTCCCCTTCCTGTCTGCCTCAGGTATATGTAGTGCCTGGTTCACAGCACTCTCTTTCCGTGCCCCCTGAGGGCAGGGAATTGCTGTACCTCCGTTCTCCTCCTGGTACCTTGCTGACCATCCGGTTACCCAGGAGCTTAGGGTGGTCTGGTGTTGACTCCTTGTGCTGCTTCTGTGAGCCCTGTTCCCTTGTAGGAGCTATGGTGGAGACTGAGCTGGTGAGAGCCAGGAGGCCCTCGTCACTGCTTCAGTCTGGCTTCCTGCTTTTTACAGAGGTGCATCTGGATGGGCTGATGTGTTTCCATGGCAATAGACTTCCACAGACAGTATCATTCTTGCTGGCCACCTACTATTTCACCAGAGGATGGGCCCTCTTGATGGAATTTTGCTTTTTTCCCTTTAAACAGAATTGAGAGGATGGCTGCCTGGGTGTCCATTGCTGAGAAAAGGATCTGGACTCACAGGCTCCCCCATGAAACTAATAGTAGTAGCTACTCTTTACTGAGCACTTACTCACATGAGTTGGGCACTGAGCAAAGGGCTTAGCTCTTTTTTCATATGATACAATAATAGCATGAGGCAGGCGTGGTTGTACCAATTTTACAGAAAAGGAAATTGAGGCTCAGAGACTAAGTAACTTGGCAAAGTTTGCTCAAACAATATATTTCAAGAGCTGGTATTCCAACCCAGCTGTGTTTGACTTTCACTGAACTTACCTGCCTTGTTAGAGAAGGAGGAAATGGGGGTTGCAGAGGGAGGGAGGTCATCTCCCAGGCCATGTGCCAATGGCTGGCTTTCCTAGAACTGAATTGAGGCTCACACCCAGAAAGATGACAGCTGCCATCAGGCCTCTGCTACTGAGGCGGCACAAAGGGCCTCTTTGAGGGGTGAGTCTAGGAGTACTCCTTCTAGCTTGCTCCCAAGCCAAGCATCCAGGGGGCCGGCGGGCATTTCTGGCTCAGCTGTCTGGCCAGAACTAGGAAGAGTGGTCTGAAATTCTTTCCTTGAACAGATCATATGTGGTCCGAACGTGTTGCTTCTAGATTGATGTGGTATTGAAACTGCATCAGGTCTTCCCGTGCGACCTGGGAATCTTTAGACTCCCCTGGGCCTCCCTTCCTGAACAGTCAAGGCTTTGAAAATGTATTGATTTCCCTCCTCCCCTTCCCTGCTTTTGCACTTTGGATGAACCTTGTTTTCGAAGAACAGTAGAAGGTAATTTTCCTGTGCTTGCCAGCTGGCCCGTAATTGAGCAATTTCAATAACACCCACTGTAAAGTCTAATCGAAGTAAACAGGAAAATATGATTTACAATCTGGACAGCAAGTAAATACCAGGGTGCAATTAATTTTTACACAGAGCAGCAGATTCTAAAACATTTTTCTGCACTGAGTAGTTTATTTTTAATTACAGATTAGGAGCTGCTTTCCTATTTATTTATTACTATTATCATTTTTTTACTTTTTGATGGTGTATCAGATTCCTTGTATCCATGTGACTTTCTTTGAAGGTTTAACCACAGAAGAGTGGGATGGGGAAACAGGATCAGAGAAATTTGTAAGGAGCAATTTTTCAAATCTGCACTGAAGGCTGTACCCTTTCTGCATTTGCTTGGTGGGAAATGATGGTGGACTGGGGAGGAGGTGCAGAATGGCGATGCTGAGGGGGTCCTATCACTGCTGGAAGCTCACTTGGTTTGGCTCATTCTGGGGAAGAGGACAAAGCTACAGAGGCCCCCAGTGTTGCAAATATGTTGATATAGAAATGTACTTCCAAGGACAGGAAATGTGTACCTTTAAATAGACCCCCCCTGATTCTTCCAGTAACTTCTGTTCATAACTGGGTGAAGAAGAGGAGCCAGTGTGTACTGACTGTGGGCCCCCCATGCCCGTTGGCTGCCAGAGGGCTGACCCCTTTGGTTTTGGATGTGGGGATGAGGTGTGTTCTGAATCCTCAGCCTACCTTAGCACGTGCTTGTGTGCACTGAAGCTGCCTGTAAAGCCAGCTCAGTGGTAAGATGTCACATGGTTTGAGCACACTGTAGGGACAGCAGATTGTTAACCACTCAGACCCTGGATAAATCCTGAAGGTATCATGTGGCTGGACCCAAATTCCTTGCTCTGTCCACCAGGGTGTTGGTTTAAGGGGTGCCCTGAGGCCCGCTTGGTGCAGGGGTGGGGGTGTGTGAAGGTGATTCTGGGCCTTGGTGACCCATTATGCATCTCCTTTAGCAGGGAGGTGTTTTCATTCCCACCAGGTTTCCAGCCCAGGGGGAGGAGCCGTTCTCTCAGGGCCCTGGTCTTCCCAAGTCCTGAATCCCTTTGCCTTTCTTTTGTTTTTCCAGGGAGTTGACCATTCTTGGCCATTTCCCAGAAAGGCCCTACTCCGAGGGTGAGTGGCCAATGGAGAGCTGTTTCTGCTGATGTCAGTCTCCTGGGAGGTGCCCAGTCGTTGCCGTTGCCTGTCTGCCCAACTGGAGATGGCTTGTGCCCACCCTGGGATGGAGCTCAGCACCTGAGGTCCTTACCATGGTGATGATCCTAAGTAAAAACCTCAACAACCAGGGAGCTGACTCCATAGCATACAGGACCTTCAACACTGAACTGGTAAGGACCTAGTGTGGACTTCATTTCTTTGATGACCTTTTCTGAGGCCTGATGTACAGGTGGGGATGTGGACTGAACATCCAGGCTTAGCAAACTAAGTGCAAGGAACCCAAGAGTAGAGCTCTGTGCGGCGTTTCAGCTGGGTGGCAGGACAGAGGAACCCAGAGCTTGGCTAAATATTTGCAAGAAGGAAGTAGCCCAGCCCAGGTTAGAGATCATCTGGTGAGTGACAAGGGGAAGGTCATCACCCTGTTCTGCCAGGCCAAGACTGACATTCCTTCTGTCTCCACTTGTTAAGGAAGGTGGTTTCTAGAAGAGGGGTGGTGTCCTGAGTGGGAGCCAAGATAAGTCTGTATCTCCAAAGGGCAGTACAGAGTGATAGCTCCTGCTTCAGGAATGTCAGGGGTGGGAGATAATGGAGAAAGAAGGCTCAGTCTGGCCGCCAAGGTGGTAGGCCGTGATGACAGCCACCTTCTGGCTATCCTCGGCCAAAGTTGTCCTCTGACCAAACTATGGTAGGCTGGGGCAGAGAGGCAAATAAGTCAGCTTTCTCAGATCATGTACAAAACAACCTCTGACAGCTAAATTCCATAAGTAGACTGAACCCTTCTTCCAAGCCCAGTACTTCAGAAGTGAATAGAGAGGGGCCAGCCCATGGATCACTCGGGAGAGTGCAGTGCTCATAACACCAAGGCCACGGGTTCGGATCCCATGTAGGGATGGCTGGTTGGCTCACTGTGTGAGTGTGGTACTGACAATACCAAGTTAAGGGTTAAGATCCCCTCACCAGTAACCTTTAAAAAAAAAAAAAAAGGGCCGGCCTATGGCTCACTTGGGAGAGTGTGGTGCTGATAACACCAAGGCCACGGGTTTGGATCCCATATAGGGATGGCCGGTTAGCTCACTGGCTGAGTGTGGTGCTGACAAAACCAAGCCAAGGGTTGAGATCCCCTTACCGGTCATCTTTTTTTAAAAATAAAGAAGCAAATGGGGGCTGCTCCCCTGCAGACGGGGCAAGAAGTCATGCTCAGGCATAAACACTGATAGAAGAGTTTTAGAGAAGGGTAAGTCCTCAGAACTCTCTGCAGCTTCCATGATCAGTGAGGGACGGACCACCCAGGGTCATATCGTCCAGGACCCCTCCTGGCACCTTTAAAGCCTCTTATAAGAACCCACACCAAGCACCCTTGATGGGCTTCCTTCCCCAATGTCATGCCAGTGGAAACCAAGCCTTAGAGCCAACAGGTCTGGATCTCTGGCCCTGGTAAGAACTTCCACTGAATGTGCATTCATTCCTCAGGCCTTCACAGAGCACCTTCGGTGTGTCGGGTTGGGCTGGAGGAATTCAGAAAGCAAGATGTGTCAGAAATGAGCCTTGTCCTTCTTGCCCTTGAGAAAGTCCTAGAGGGAGAGTAGTCTGGACGGACCATTAAGTCCAGGGTGTAGAGGAGGACCAGCCTGGCTGTGGCACATCAGGGAAAGTCTCACACAACAGGGATGCTAGATTTGGCCTTGAAGGATGAGTAGACATGTCTTAGAACTGTTGGGTTCTACCTCCTCATTTTACAAATGTGCTGCTGAGACCTGGAGCAGGACAGTAACTGCCTCACCAGTTCTGTCTCGTCCCGTCCCACCCACCCACTTCCTGGGCCTGTGTACAGGCCTCTTCCCTCAGACTGGTGTTTGGACACCGGTCTTGGCGGCCCTCCTTGTCTCGTTTCTCCAGCTCTTACCAATCCACTCTGCCCATGAGGCCTACGAGGCCTGCGGGGGTCCCTTTGCCTGTCCACATCCAGTCTCAGGGACAGGGACCTAGATTTGGCCGGACAGCAGGCACCCAGTGTGTATTTAGTTGACGGCGACCTTGGTCATTGTAGGAAGTAGAGCTGCTCTGGCCATTCAGGTCTTCTGCCATCACTACTTGCCTTCCAATTCACAATTAATATCATCTGTATTTTGATTACTTCTCACCATCCCCACTGCCACCACCCTGTTCCCGCCTGCCATCCTCTCTCATGTGGATTCTTTTGATAATTGGTCCCCTGCTTCTGGTTCTTTTAACCTGTTCTCCACCCAGAAGGTGGAGGGAATACAAGTCAAATCTGTCTTTCCCCTGCCCAGAGCCTTTCACTGGCTTCCCATCTCATGCTGAGCAAATGCCCAAGCCCTTGCTAGGATGTGCAAGGCCCACATAGTCTTGTCCGCATGACTGCTGTGGCCTCATGTCTTCTCTCCCCTGCTTGTCCGCTCAAGCCACACTGGCCTCCTTGCTTAAACACGCCAAGTGTGAGACTGCATCAGGGTCTTTGTACTTCTGTGGCCTGGGACACTCTCCCTGTAGCAGGACTCTCTCTCACCCTTCCTTCCTTCTTTGGCCCCAGCCTGAAATTTGATCCTGCCACCACCTCCTACTTCCCTTACTCCAACACACATTCTGTCCTCTTTCCCTATCTCTGTCTCCTCTTAGGCACTTAACATTTTGTAACATTTTACCTGTCAATTGTGTTTATTGAATGACTCCCCACACTAGAATGGGAACTTCATGAAGGCAGGAAATTTTGTCTCTTTTGCTTGTTGCTGAATGCTCAGTGCCTAAAACCAGAGCCTGGTGCATGGTAGGTGCCCAATGAGTATTTGTAGAGTCGAATGAGTGTTCAGGTTCCTGTTGCCCAGCTGCTTTTCAGCTTGTCATTGTTTTAGTGCCACTCTGACTGCTGCTCAAATTTATGGCTGAGTGGATGCAGATACATGTTGCTCTGTTTTCCGTGTTTGGTGATTTTCTTTTCCTGGGGAAATCTGAAAAACATATCTAGAGTAGCTCTGACCAGAAAGGAGTGACCTCAATAGTGAGGGGCCATGTGGAGGTCTCCAGGGAGGAACTCTTCCTGGGTCCAGCTATTCTGGTTGGCCTCAGCAGCTGCCTCTGTGCTTAATCCTTTCTCAGAGTTGTACTGGCTGGTCTTGGCTGCAGAGCTGCTTCCAGGGCACGTGGTCCCAAGGTCAGCTGAGCTGCTTTTCTAGGAGATGTGGCCTGAGCCTCTGTCAGAGGAGTATGGCCTTCCGGCGCTAGCCAGGGAAGGAAAACTCGTCTCACAGAAAGGGAAAAAGTCAGAGGAAAGCAAGTGGGCTCCTTGGAAGGGATTTTGCAGCATGCAACCTTGCTGCCTTACAGATTAGGATCTTCGCTTTCTTCCTGAATTCTCCCTCCCCTTTTTGAAAAGTATCCTTCTTTCTGCTGCTTTCATTATTGGCTGGTCTGGGCCCAGTACAGGACTTTGGGCCTATTTGTCTTCTTCCTCTTCTCTTCCCTCCCCTTGACTCCAAATGGGAGGTCAATTGTGGGGAGCAGCCTCTTTGGAGAGGGGCTTTCTGGTCTGTCAGTGTGTCAATGTATCACGTGTTGAGTGTTGGCCATGTCCTGACCTGGCCCGGCCCAGTGCTGCTTGCACAGGGCCAGTGGAGGATGGGCCAGCAGGAAGGCGTGAGAGTGTGGCTACACCCAGCACCTTAGGATGCTTACAGAGGTCCAGTTCCCTTTCCCCTTGCTCCATAGGAGCCTCACACCACCTGCTGAGGGCAGGGGCTTGTACATCTCTACCCTGTTATACAGACAGGGAACTGCTGCTCAAAGAGCTCAGGGGAAGGTGCACCCAGGTCATAACACAAGCTGGTAAGCAGGGCACCAGGACACAGACTTAAAGTCCGGGCTCTTGTCTGCTCTACCCAGTGCCTTTCTGTACAGATCACCTCAGGGCTTCTCCAGGTCTTGGGGAGAGAAGTGCTGTAAATAACTGAAGAAAAACCCCAAATAATCTCAGTCTAGTGATGACATCCATGAGATAGAATGTGAGATAAACTGATGTTAGCATTTGCTTTGGACAGCAAGCAAAGGTTCAGAGGAAGCACATGAGGTTTTGCTTCAGCTTCCTAAACTCGTGACATCATCCTCATGTGCACCATGTCTTCGTACTCCTGGTCGTGACGAGTTGGCACTTTGGGCTCAATAGCCCCAGCCAGGATCCCTGGAAGGTTACAGGCTAGCCTGAGATAAGAACTCAGAAGTGCACCAGGACTACACGGAAGTCTGATGCCTTTTACCCTGGGCAAGCAAAGGTACCAAGGGGCTCACCTATGCCATGGCTAACCCGAACCTGAAGTTGGGGCTGCCATATCTCTATCAGCATCTTTGAGAGCCTCTACCCAGGGGCGCTGTTCCCTTCTCAGCTTCTCTTTCTCTTTTTACGCCTGGATTTTCCTTCTGCTTTCTGTTGCCATGGTCTCACCAAGTTCTGTTTCTGGGGCATGGGTGCTCCACTTCCTTCCCTCTAGTGCATGAGCGTGGGTTTCTCCCTGTTGCACTATGGCTCCCTGTAACAGTATGTCAGGAGAGGGAAAAGGTGACTTGATCACTTTATCAATCTGCAGAAAGCTGTAAAGAACCGTGGGTATAGTCTGGCGTTTTCTGCATGGACTAGCTCCTCATTTGGAGCCTTAATTTAAGTCAGGGCTCCTTCCTTTAGTCAGACAGATTACCCAGAAGTCTCAATTTGATTTCCAGCTTTTGCCTTTCTTGTGAGGATCTGATTCCAAAAACCTTCTTTTGTGATTTAAGGAGTCTCACAGAAGTGAGGCCCTGCCCTGTGGTGGGCTTGGGAACAGAGGCTTCATAGTGGGAGAAAGACAAAGGGGAAATGTGCCCTTGTTTCACTGCAAACCTCAGCTAGGGTTGGGGTGCTTGCTTCTGCACAGACACTGAATGTCTTGTGAAACCACAGGGGGCTGAGAGTTTCCCTCTGGGCCTGGCAGGCCTCAACATGTGGTGATCTGCTGATCCTTCCCATTGTGGGTACAGAGGGTTGGAAGGGTTAGAAAGGCTGGCTGCTCACTTGGGAGAGTGTGGTGCTGACAACACCAAGTCAAGGGTTAAGATCCCCTTACTGGTCATCTTAAAAAAAAAAAAAAGAAGAAAGGCTGGCTGCACAAATGGCACACACCAGCAGGAATTTATCATGTACTGGGTAGACTAGAAATAAAGGCTCAGCCAACCTGGAGCCAAGCGGCAACTCAGTTTTATTTGCCCACATGAAGTTGGACCCAGGGAAACCTGCCAGTGATCAGAGTGTGTCTGGGGCCTGACACCCTGGGATGCTGTCGGGTACATGATATTCTGGCCTGGTCACCACCTGCCTACCCTCACAGACTGGGCTCAGAGAGCAAGACCGGGCCTTGATCCCATCTTGAGGTACAGTGTGACATTAGTCAGGGTTCCTCATTTGTAGTTGACAGAGACCATCTCTAGCTAACTCACACCAAAAGAGAACTCATTGGAGCCATGGGAGAGAGCTCACAGGACTGGAGAAGAAATAGTGAATCAGACCCTTTAAAGAGCAGGGCCAGGCAACTGGGAGGACTTCGGAAGCAGGTGTTCATGGGCAGACTGAGGTCTCCCCACTGGGCGAATCAGCCCCAGCATCCCATTGGTTCAGGAGTCAGAGCCACGGAATGATTGACGGTCAGGTCAGCTAAGCCTGAGTTCTGTGCCCGCCCTGTGGCCAGGGGAGATGGAGGTGCTGTGGTTGGTGGTGCCACCGAGACTCTATCCGGTGAAGGGGGAAGTTATCCCAATGCAAAATTGGAGTGCTACTAGCAGGAGAAGGGGGGCTTCACCACTTGGCCATGCAGTTTCATCTGATCAATGAGAGGAGCAAAGGCCGCTCACCGAGAACAGAGGAGAATGGTGATGTCATTTCTTCAGGTTGTGAAACTGCAGTGCACACGATTATTGGTCCACTGGCACCTTTTGGTGGAGCACTGGAGGATGGCGTGAAGAGCCTGTGCTGGCCTGAGGGGTGGCCCTGACTCTCAGGCTGGTGCTCTCTCTTCTTTGCCACTGAGTTTCGACTTTGCATGAGCCCAGCAATTTGGGGAAGCAGTAGGTTCTGCCCAGTAAAACCCTGTTTCCATCAGCCTGGCATCTGCTGGATGTGTGGGCAGCAGGAGCAAGACAGGTTGGTGCAGACAGGTGTCCATAGCTGTGGTGCCACTTAGTGTTGGAAATATTGTGAATAAGACAGCCTCCCTTTCCTCAAGAAGCTTTTATTCTCGTGGAGCAGAGAATAAGCACAAGAATAAATGAACTGATGCATGCTGTGTAATGTTAAGTAACACGTGGAAGAGAAAAGCATGGGCTGAGAGGGCACTATGTCACAAGGATGTCCAGGGAAGGCTGCTGAGGAAGCCACAGGACAGGAACGAGGACACAGAGCCTGTCATGTAAGGATCCCAATGCAGAGGCCCTGAGGTGGCAGTGATTGGCAGTGTGAGTGAAGAGGGACTGACAGTAGGGATGAGGGTGCTGGGGTCTGGCTCATGTGGTCCTGATGTGCTGTTGGGGAGAGGGAATGGCCCAGATTTTATTCTGGTTGCTATGGGAAGTTGGAGAGGAAGGCAGTAGTCTGATCTCTTCTTTAAGATGACTTTGGTTCTGGGTGGAGAGAGAATTTGGGCCAGGCCAGGAGACTAGACAGGAGGTATGTTCGGTGGGGGATGGTGGTGTCTTGGAGCTGGAGCAGCTCTGGGGTATAGGAAGTGTCTTCCCAACCTGGGAAATGGCAGGCTACTCTGGACATCTGTAGCAAATGCCAATAAGTACTTGTTGAGCGAATGAATGAGCAAGTGAGTGAATGAGTGAATGGTGGCTTGGGGAGCCCTGGGTGCTGCCCCAGTGGCTTTCCTCTGCAGGCCTTGACATAGGCTGACAAACCCCAGCATCTCATGCACGGTGGCTGGTGCCATGTGTCCATGTTCTCTGGGAGGGCTCTGTGGTGCTCTGGGTCTAAAGCACGTTAGCTTAGTGGGAGGAGAATGCCAGTGAGCACTTTTCCACCAATGAGGCAGGGGTTGGCTCACTTTCTGCTTCCTTCTTTTGTCTGGAAAACCCCAAGCCCTCCTTAGTGACTCCTGCGTGCCAGTGAAGCAAACAAGCCACTCCAGTGCTCCTACTCTCTTCTGCTTTCCCCAGCCCCCATCCGGGTGTGGGTTTCTGTAGGCTCCAGCCTAGATTGCCTTGGCCCACCTGGCAAGCACAGAGTGTGGGCTGTGGTTCCCCTGCGGGTGTTTTCCTCGTGCCTGGGTCCTCCTTTAGCACTGGCAGCTGTCTCCCTCAGTATGCAGGGCCCCTGGCTGTGGACCAATCTGACTTCTTTCTCTGAACCCTCCCCCTGGGAGCAAGTGTTGTGCCTGGCTTCTGCAGGCTGTGCACTTGGCTGTGTAGGTGGCATAGCCCTGGTGGCAGGGCCCTCACGTGTTTGTTACCTTCCTTTCCTTGGGTGACTTGGGTGTGGGCTTTCAGCTGTGCATCCTGCAGTGTTAACCATGTCAGCTGGGAGTGAGGCAGGTGCAGCCATCTTTAACTCTTTCCACATATTGCCATGGATGGCTGTAGATGGCTTCGTCATTGGAATCCAGGAGGGTGACCTGGCTTGATAGCATAAGAATTGTTTTACACCTAGGAGGCAGGACTGGAGAAGGACTGCCCCACCCCATTCTCCCCTGTCAGCTCCTTCAACATCAGCTCAGGTATTCCCCCAGGAAGCCAGCATTGACCTCCACTCCTACCCCAGCACACATGCCCTGGGCCCCCTTTTAGTCTCTGTGTCTCTGTAGTGTTACGGTTGTCTGCATGACTCTGTCCTCCATGAAGCATGAGCCCTCCTTAATCTCTGTGTCCCTGGGCTGGTCAGGATGGACTCTTAACAACCTATGGGATGAACACACTGCTGCCCAAGTACAAAGGTCCCTGGATTGGGCAGCTGGGGAAGGGGGCAAGGAGCTGGTGCCAGGCACGTGCCACCCTCTTATCTGGGTGGGCCAGGTATTTCTAGTCAGCCCCACCTTCCTTCCAGACCTTAAAGAGCCAGAACCTGGGCTTTCACCCACTTCTCAGCTTGGAAGTCTTGCCTGTTCCTGTCATTTTGGGGTGGGAGGGCATTGGGTGCTCCTCTCAGAAGTCAGAGCCCTCAATGCCAGGTTGTTTCCTCTGGGGCTGACAGCTTCTTTCACAGCTGCATGATCAGCCTGTTATACAGCCTGCACATGAATAATTACCGGCACATATTTACTAAATGAGTGGATGAGTGAGTGAGCGAGTCTTTGGAATATTTGGGGCAGACCTTCTTCCAGGGGTCCTGACTGGGCACAGTCTTCTCACCAGAGGTCAGGCTCTTGACCTGGCTGTCAGCTAGCACCAGGAACACCCAAAATACTCCATGCTTAGTTTACTGTGTAGCCATGGAGCAAGTGCCCTGGGTTTGGGATTCTAGGCCTCAGTAGGCTTCTATTTTCACCCAGTGGCCATAGTGTTCAACTGAGGCCAGGTGTAGGATGTGAGGGGAGATGTTTACAGTGGAAAGGGAAACTGTGGAAATACGGTGCCGAGGAGTTCAAAAGCCATAGCTGTTATGTTGAGACCAAATATATATAACCTTTGAGTTTTTGTTTCAGTTCAGAGAGAATGCCTCGGGGGGCCTCTCTATATCTGCAAAACAGCCTGTAGAGCGGAGGCCAACCCTCCTGATCTTTACCTGATACCTGTACATAGAGAAGGAAGAACTGTTCTCCATGTAACTTGAAGGAGGGATCCGGGAGTGGGATGTGGGGCCCTCTGCTCTTCACTAGAAGTTCTTCCTGTCCCCAGGGAGGTCCCCTCCTCTCCCGGCCTCTTTTCAGCCCAGCAGTTTATTTGACTGTTTACCATCACACCTCCCTCCCGTGCCCTCCTCCACATCACTTATGTGGAAAATCCCCTCGTGTCAGAAGTCATGGGGCTTTTTGTGTGTTTTTAAAGCCCATTAACTTGATGTACTCCATAACTCACTGGAGACTTGGGACAAAGCGTCCAGGCCTAATTCTGAGCAGATGTTGTCTCTTCAAATATTTTTTTCTCCTTTCCCTAATCTGACATTGGCAAAGGACAGTTACCCCTTTAACTGTGACTTTAGCAAGGGATCAGTGCAGAGTCATGTGCAGACATGCTTCTTATGACTTGAAGAGTGAATAGCTTTTCTGGTTGTTTTCAGCACACGCCAGAGAAGATGAGTCAAGGACCTACACTTTTCTCTTGTGGCATTATGGGTAAGTAGCCAAGGCGTCTGTGAGCTGTCTCCTCTAGTCCTTCCAGCCAGGGCCTGAGTCCTCCAGGTGAGACGTTGAAAGCACTTTCTGGACACAAGTTCAATAAGAGCAGCCGTGGGGACTCTTTTCTGTGTGTTTTAACTATTTTGGTCCTCAGCAGTGCTGGAGTTGTCCAGGGGGCTGCTGGGGCTAAGTGAAGGGAGAGGCGCTGGTGTTTAGTTTACAAATGTAATTTCCAGTCTAACCTTGAGAGTTTCTATCTGATTACTCAAGTAATTCATTTTGATTTTTTTTTCATTCAGAAAATGTACCATAGTATAAAGTATAAAATAAAAATTTCTCCTAGCCCCAATACCTGCTAATTGCCACAGTTGATATTTTTTCCTATATGTTTATGTTGTTTGTGTTTTTTATATAGCCCACTCCATGATGAACATATAATTATAGAAAACTATATTTGTTTGCTTTTTTCTCTTGGTAGTAGTTATCATTATATTCCCACAGCATTAAAATTGCTAATTCCATGCATTTTAATGGTCTGTAGGACTGCGGTTGTGTGGATGTATCAAAATGTCTTTAACATGTAACTATCTCCTGGTTGTTGGGTAAAGGAGCTGTTTTATTTGCTGTTGCAATTAACAGTGACTAAGCATCTAAGTCTGTGTCTGCTTTGTGGATTATTATGTTGGAAGTAGAATGGAAAGGCCAAGAGGGCAGGAACATTTTTAAGCCTCTTGGTACATGTTACTGATGTGCCTTCCAGAAAGGTTGCCTTGGTTTTCTGTTTCTGTGCAATTGTGAATTATTGTTTCTTATGGGGGAAAAAAGATGACTGTATTGATTTCTTGATGCTCCAGATAATTGGGCATAGTTTCTCCTTTTGCTGTCTCCATGGCCTTCTTGCCCCCACCCCCCATCCCCTGCTTTGGGGATATCATATGAACTTCTGTAATGTCTTGTTGAGTCAGAACCCAGACTTCAGTGATGGATAACTACTATGGGCTTTCAGATTCAAAGTTGGTCTTTGTAGGACTGTATAGAGTCTCTTGGCCTTTCTCAGCCCTTTCTCTCTGTGTATAGTGTTTTTTTGTTCTTCTTTAGATGCAGTTCCCGTGGAGGAGACAATGAGGATGGAGGGTGCTGGGTATGTCATATTGAGCACTGTGCTGGGCACTGGGCCCATGCTCTTTATATACAGGATCCTTCTGACTCTGCCAGCAGCTTCAGGGGGCAGGGGGTGCTCATTCACATATGGAGAAACTGAGGCCTAGTGAGGTGACCTTCCTCAAGGTCCCTTGCTAGTCAGACTTGGACCCAGGAGGGAGAGGAGGAAGATTGTTTCCTTCTCAATCACATGCCATCGCTCTCGGAGAGCTGGGTTGTCGTCTTGATGCTGCCACCCAGAGGAAATGAAAACAGGGAGGCCACCTGGCCTTGGTTTTCCTATGTGACACATTTCTGAGCCCTGTTCCCACATGATTGAATACCTCCTTGGTGATTAACGGCTTTCAGCAAACCCTTAGTACCCCAGCCACATGGCCCAGTAGCCTGCCTCATTGCCTTCTTCCTGGGACAGTCTCACGATTGAGCTGCCTTCCTTTGTCATGCCAAGGAAAGAGAAAGAGCCCCCTGGAGTTGCCTAGCCCCTCAACCCTGCGTAGACTTTAGCTCTAAGCTGGGCCAGACTAATAAACTGAGTTGTGGAGATGTTGGTCTTCATTTTAAGGCTGTTCATGCATTAGGCTTCCTTGGCCTTTTTGCTGTGTAAGTCATAATAAGGTGGAACTCTTGTGGGTTTGTGATGGACAGTGTTGGGGCTCTTATAGTCACTCTGAAATTTTTCTGAGTCCTCAGATTTCTCATCTGAAAAATGGCAATTATGATAGCACTCACCTTGTGGGCTTGTTGTGAGGACTATGTGAAATAATGTTTGTAGAAATATTAGCACTGAGTGAGCACTCCATGAGTAATAGGTTAAAAAGAGGGCTGAGACCTGAAATGAGACATCCTGCTCCCTGAGAATAGGCCTCCATACCCAAACAAAGGGATCACCTTGGTTTCCTTTGGAGAGGGGCTGTATGTGACAGAGTTGCCCTTGTAGGGGCAGATCCACAGGCCCAGGGACCAAGGCAGAGATCCTGAGGAAGGGAGGTGTATGGAGACAAGCTCAGAGTGCCCCGGAGAGTCTGTCTGAGCCTGTGGAGCCCAGTGACCTGCTTTCTACCAAAGGAGGCCCAGGGTTTCCAGGAGGGATTGTGCTGTGTCCCCAGGCTCTTGCTTATAGAGAGGCTCTTCAGGAAGTGCTGGCCAGATCCCAGTGCCTCTTGTCCCAGGCTATTCCCTTTTACAGGGCCCTGTCTTTCTCCTGCTCTGCAGCCACTGCCAGGCAGCAGAGGGAGAAGCCAGGAGCCACTGCATTGGTGGTGGGTCTGTGGAGTCCTCTTGTCCTTTTCTGCTTCTCTTTCCCATGGGCCTCATTTTTCTGTTGCTCAGCCCTCTTCTTAATTCAGGAAAACCCTAACCCATGTGACAGCGTCCATCATCAAGGCTTTCATTTACCACATTTCATTTCAGTGGCTTGTTCTGGTAGATGTTAATTGAGCACCTTACTGTGTTTCAGGCATTTGGTGCACTGATAGTGTAAATAAGACCCTGCCCCTACCATCAAGGAGATTTCTTTCTGGTGGCGAATTCCGCATGGACTAGGCCAACTTCCACGAGATGGTAGAGGCACTTAGCGATATGGCCAAATCACCCCATCTTCCTGAGCCTCAGTTTCTTCTTCTTACAAATTGTGGGTGTTTGTGCGGATTCAAAGAGAGATGCGAGCTCCGTCCATCTTGCCTCTACTGCCTTTGTGCAGTTGCTCAGGCAGGAGTATCAACATTCAGAGGCCTTACCAAACCTGGTGTGTGCTAGTGGAAGCTAAGGTTACCTCTCCAGCCCATTTAACTCATGGATTGAAGTTTTGTGGCCTCATCCTGTGCTGTGAACTGGGAATGCACCTCAGTTAGTGAGATTTCATCTTAGGTGTGCCTGCCAAACCTGGTGTGTGCTAGTGGAAGCTAAGGTTACCTCTCCAGCCCATTTAACTCATGGATCGAAGTTTTGTGGCCTCATCCTGTGCTGTGAACTGGGAATGCACCTCAGTTAGTGAGATTTCATCTTAGGTGTGCCTGCTTTTCTTTTTGGCGTCTGTGAGCTGTCTCCTCTAGTCCTTCCAGCCAGGGCCTGAGTCCTCCAGGTGAGACGTTGAAAGCACTTTCTGGACACAAGTTCAATAAGAGCAGCCGTGGGGACTCTTTTCTGTGTGTTTTAACTATTTTGGTCCTCGCACCGCGCTCAACCAGTGAGCGGACTGGTCTCTATATGGGATCCGAACCCTTGGCGGGAGCGCCGCCACGCTCCCAAGCGCCACACTCTACCGAGTGCGCCACCGGGCCGGCCCGAGTGCCTGCTTTTCAATACTGGAGAAGAGATCACCCCAAGGGGCCAGCCAGACTTTTCATGAGCGTTTTGGGCTCTTCCAGGGCTGGACAATGCTGAGCAAAGATAAAAAGCCAAGTTATTATAATCACTAACCTCCAACCTGTCTCGTGGAGATAAAGGACTCATGTTCTGGCGTGATCAGTGGAATTCTCTCATGATAGCTGGGGACAGTTGGCCCTGTGACTCAGGGGTTTCCCTTCTAAGCCCCCAGGCAAGGGTCCTAGCTGGAAACCAATATGAGTTTGAGTTTCATAAATGTTCTTAAGGAAACCCAGGCAAGTGCATTAGGGCGAGGAGCACAGAAGACTGTTTGCTTCTTAAAATGCCACCCCCCAGGCAAGGGTCCTAGCTGGAAACCAATATGAGTTTGAGTTTCATAAATGTTCTTAAGAAAACCCAGGCAAGTGCATTAGGGCGAGGAGCACAGAAGACTGTTTGCTTCTTAAAATGCCATCCTTTCAAGTAGCTTGGCCTCCTCTGCACCCACTTAGGTAAAATGTGTTACTAATATAACCAAGTGCTCACAACAATGTGTGTGTGTATTATTTAAAAGTACTTCATGCTCTGTGATTGCTAGCTGGATACCAGGCCTCTCCCCACCCTTGTCAGCCACCCCAGTTTGTGAACTTGATACAAAGAAGTGGTTTTGTGCTTTTCCAAAGTGGGGGAGAAGACAAAGCCAGAGAGAGCTGGAGATGGGAGAAGCAGGGCAGAGTGGAGCCAAGCTTCTGCCCGGCCTGCTCTGTGCCAGGGCCCAATACCTCCTGTTAGGGTGCCAGCTCAGTCCTGTCACCACAGGTCTCCTTCTAGTGGAGGCCATGTTTTACCTCTTGGTTTCCTTTCTTACTTCCCAGACTGTCCCCGGCACAGCAGATAGCTTCTGAGGGTAAGAGCCATCTACATGACTGGTTCTTGTGCTCTTGACACAGGAGGCATTGGTCAGGTGGCAGCTCCACAGGTGTGGCCCACATACTGGTCAGCTAGCTGGGCAAACCCATCCAGTCCCTGTTCCTGGCTCTGAATTCTAGTGGGTGCAGATAGGGCCTCAGCTTCAGCTGAGAGAACCACACTGTGTTGGGAGAGGCAGGGGCTGCACATGAATCCCCAGTACATGGCTGCCTCTAGATCTTTTGTCTTTTGCAGTAGGAGGTGCTACCTCACACTGACTTGGGGTTGCATGTGTACTAGTTTAATCTTTTTTGGTGAAACAGGGCAATGGGGTGAGAACAGTCCCTATTCACCACCTTGGCTAATTGCATCTATTCAGTGTATTGTTATGATTGCAGACACCACACATTGTATTTCCCTTACTTCTCTGGTGAGAAGACCTCGAAATCACATACTATGTGAGAAAGTGAAGGCAATACCAATTATTTAAAAACAACAACTAGGGAAACTCTTGTAAATACAAGTCCAGTGGACAGAGGACAAAACAATTCATATGCTAAAAAAAAAAAAATTGGATGAAAACCCATTATTACTTTAGAAGTTGTGGTAACAAATTACTTATT